CCCGTCCCGCCGCCCCCCGCCAGGTTCTGATTGATAAAAGCCATCAACTCTTGCTAGAGGGCTGGAGGACCCCTAAAGGTGACTTGTAAGGTTGTGGCCAATTTCAATAAATGTAAGCTCATCGAAACTGGCTTTAACTTTGAATTTTGTGATTAAAAATAAATCTGCCCCGTTTTTAAATTTCCCTTTCACAGTCCATGCTCTCGTTGTGGTTGCATTTTCCAATTTTGTCCTTCACTTTAACCCCATGTTTCTGCTTTTGTACAACCTCAACTGCAAAAACGATCCAGGTATGGATATCCTTTAGCCTTGCCAACCAACAGTTGTGGTGACTGAGGTCCATTTTGCGAGGGGACAGTCTCTAAAGCCCTGCTGGCCCTGGTGTGGGGCTTCCAGACCTCCCTGAGCGCTGGGGAGTGACTGTGACAGCAGCTTCTCCCCTGCTGCCCTTTGAAGTGCCTCAGCCTCAGTCAGAACTTCCAACCCCATCTTGCCTAGTTCCTCCTAATCTTGGTCACGACTCTTGGCCGTAACCGGATGCCTGACCTCATGCGTCCTCTACCTCATCAGTGATCAGAACTCACTTCCCACCCACAGCCACCCCATTTTCTGGCTTTAGTCCACCATTATCACCATTTTTTCCTGCTTTTCCACTAGAACAACAAACTAGCACTCAGGAAACCTCTCAGAATGGATTTGCTATAGCCAATTGTTTTCCTTCTGATACTGATGCCAACATGTTTTCTCCAGATGTGTAACACTTTGCAACGGAGGTGCTACTTGTTTAAAAACAATATCTAAAAGCTCTAGAACAATGTTTTTAAATGTATCATCTCCATCAGATCTCCTAAAGTTGGAAAGACAGACAACATTGTTCTACTGTACCAAAGGGGAAACTGAGGACCAGAGTGGTGAAGGCATTTGCAGAAGGTCACAGAGTTGTTGGATGCCTGTTGCGTTCAAATAGATGAGAGAGGATGAGAAAAGCCTCAACCAGGCTGACTGAGAAAGGCCCCATCAGGATTAGCAGCTACTGACTACTTAACAAGTCCAGTCCAGAAGCTCAGCTCTCAGCAGCTTGTGTTGAGCCAGTTCTCAGGTCAGAAGGAGCAAGCCAGGAGGAGACAGTGTGCCTAAGAGGCAGAGCCGGCTGCTGAGTTTCCAGGGGATTCAACAAAAACGCTCTCACTGGAAGAATGAAGTGAGAGAAGAGAGCCATCATCTTGGGGCCAACTGTTTCCAGTTGTGCTAAAGGGGGCTCTAGAGGAGGCGGGCGGGGTCCTGGCAGGCTGTGATTCCAGCCTGACTCCAATAAGGAATGTGGATCAGCTGAGGCAAACCTGCTCTGTTTAAAAACTTGGAAACAACCTGTTTCTCTCAGTCTCAATTTCTTTCATGTGCAAAAGTAATAGGTGTGGTGAGATAGTCCACTTTCAAATCTGTTATCTATCTAGACCTTTCTTTTGAGCTCTAGACACACGCATTCAACTGCCTTCTAGAAATCTCCACTTGGATGTTCCTCAGGCATCTTAAACCAAACATGTCCCAAACCAAACACAGCTCTGATCCTCTATCTCCCATCACCCAAGACAGAGAGCCCAGGGAATCAACCCCCTTCTCCCTCACCTTGCTCCCCAAACCTAATCAGTCACGAAGTCCTGCTTACTCCCTATCCTTGACACAGCTCACATTAATCCCTACGCTCTCTACCTCCCTGGCCACCCCCTCACCACTGCTCACCTACACCTCTGCAGTAAACACACAATCACTCCCCAATCTTCAGCCCTGACTCCCTCCAATGATCTTTGCAAACCACTGCCAATGATATTTCTAGAAAAGATCTCATTATGTCATTCCACTGCTCATTTTATTCACTCAACAAATACTTATTGAGCACCTATTAAGTATCAATCACTCTCCTGGGTGGAGATTCAAGAGGGAACCAAACAGACAAAAAATTCCAGGCTCATGGAATTCACGGTTCAAAACCACTTGGTGTTTTCAGGAACAAAAAAAAAGTAACTGTTATTAACTGTGCCTTTGGAAAAGGGAGTCTAGACAATCTGGAGAGGGGGATTTCATCTTATAGCTTTTTTATTGCACGAAAAAAATTTTTCGTATTTATAAAATTATGTTATTGTTATTCATTTTTTATTTGCTGCTCCTCTATAAAGCCTTCCCTTCCTCCCCCACAAAACAGAGGTGCTCACTCCCGCTTGACTCCCATTATTGCATTTACCACAGTGGATTCTGATTGTTATTTACAAGTCTGTCTCCCCATTACACTCTGAGCCCCTTGATGGCAGGCAGTTTATCTTATTAAAGTTTGCATGCCAGGTGCCTAGCACTGTTGTTCAATAAATATTGGTGGAATAAATGATTCTATGAAATTAAATGCTTATATGCACACAGATTTTGGACACATTTTTAAGGTCCAGGGGAGTCTTTAATGGTTCATATAGTTCTTCAGGTGGTTTGTGTTTTGAGTTTATAATTTATAGCAGTTATAAAAACACAAGAGCATAATTCACGTATACAGCAAGAGAAGTAAGTGCCATTAGAGGCACTACCATGAGATTGGGGATAGGAAAGCTCACTTGGGGCCTATGTACACAAGCTAAAATGCTTGCTATTTACCATATATGTAAGAGGGAGGGGCAGCACTGAAACATCTTCAGCAGGGACAATAACCGCATAGCCAAGTACTGAGACAAGTAATCTGGAAGAGGACTCAGGATGGTTTGAGGGAGGGGGAAAGGAGGCTGGTAGTTACACCATGAAGAAGTGATTGAGGAGCGCACACCTCTCCCAGACAGAATCCTAAGGCTGGTTTGGGAAAATAAAGCCACATCTCTGAGAATCAGACAAGTTAGCCCCCTCTCAGTCCCATCTTTCCCTGTGACAGGTCCAGCCAAGGACCCAGCCCCACCATTCCCCCACCTTTATACTGGATGCGTCCTGTCTCAGTCACACACACCCTCCCTCCAAGAACCAGCAAATGAGGAGAACTTTGATTCTAAACTCAGACACATAAACTCACGTTCTAAAGGTAAAGTTGCCAATACCGGGAAAAAAGCTTATCAAGGTAATATGAATCATCACAAAATTAATTTGGAAGAGGAGGAGAAAACAGAAGAGAAATCATTAGAAGACTACAATTAAATTGCTACTTATTAGCAAACTGTACATCATTCAAAGCCACTAGACTGCTACAAATAACACACTTGGACCCCAAACACAAGCCTCTCCCTATTTCTGACATTTCATACATTAAGCCATGTAAACAAAGTGGCAACTTACTATCCAGGAGGCTCTGAAGAAATTTCCGGAGTGGGGCTGACTGCTGAGCTCTGTAAATGTCAAAAAAAAAAAAAAAAAGTGTAGATGATTTATTTTGACTCAGATGTTTCAAGCCAAGGGGGCTAAGAGAGAAGTCCCTTTCCTTTCCTAATTTAGATAAAGACCTCTGGGAGACAGGGAGCCTGGCTGGAAAGGTCTCAGTGCTGATGGAGGGCGGTACTCTTTCTCTAGGAGGAGGATTCTGGGCAAGCGGGCTCTCTCACACTCTGGCCTTTTGTCTTCCAGTGGCTGCAGCCAAGGCTCTCTGGGTGGGTGAGGAGATAGCCCGTTCCTTATATTTATCTTCAGTCACAGGCCCACTAGGTGGACTGGTCCACCATTTGGCCAACATGCATTCGTGACGTGCACAGGAAACCCTTCACCAGCTTATCCCCAGGCCTCAGACTGCCCCCTGCCAAGCCCACCAGACTCCTTCATGCGCCCCAGATGCCACATCCAGAGAGAGGGTCATCCGACACTTTAGGTACAGAATGAACAGAAATGCATTTCAAAAGACCATAATATATTTAGATAATTTGTTTACCAGTGCAGATTCAGAAGTGTGGAAATGGGGAGAAATATAGCTCCACAAAACCTATTAATGACCATTTCAGCATGAGTGGGGGAACATTTTATAAAATTACAGGCCACTATGCAAAAGGAGGAAAACAATTAAATGAGAGCTACATGCAGAGGAAAAGCAATATAATTACGTAGTGTAGGATTTCTGTTGTTGTCTTGGACAGAAAAAGGCACAGGGCTCAATATACTTGTTTTTAAAAATAAATGTGATAGTTGAATAAATCAATGAAAAAGTTAACTTTTAAAGATACTCCTATCTCTAATAACGACCATTTCAAAGAAAGCAAGCTATTTGGAGGAGAGATATTTGGAGAAAGGAAAGAAAGAGAAACACCAGGAGAAAGAAAAGGAAGGAAGAGATTATGAAAGAGGGAAGAGATGATGGGAGGGGAGGCAACCTTCATCAGGGCTCACTCAGCTGGCCCTCTGCCTGCTGAAACACCAACCCTCAGCCTGCTGGGTCATTTCTCAGGGCACCTCTGCACCCACACTCCACCGCGCCCCAATTATTCCTCAGAGAAGGCCCCGCTCTAACCTCCACATTCATCCTTCCAGTCTTTTTGCCTGCACTGGTCTCTCCTACCCATCCCCTCCTGGAGTCTCCCACCCTTGGCACCTGTCCCATTCTGGGTCTTCATCCCGCTTTGAGGATGATGCCCTGGTCTCCATCTTGGAACTGCTTGTGCACAACCCTGCTGGGTCCTCTGAGAATATGCCACCCCCTTGCTTCCTGACCACATCTTTTGATCAGTGCTGTGCCCCTTGGGGACCCCCTAATTCCTCACCACATACTCTAGCTCCCATCAAGTGCTCACCCAGCAACCTCTGAAGTTTTTAGAAGCCTCTTGGTTATCAAATCCATGGACCTTTTCTCGGAACCAATCTCTTGGGACCTCTCCGGAACACTGGGCCGTTCTTCCACTTTCTCCTCTTGCTCCATCACTCACTTTTCCTCCCATCTCTCTCAACTGTTCTTCCTCTGACCTCCCCCTTCTCCTGTTCCATGTTGTCCAACATCCCAAGGGGTAGTTGTTGGTCTCTCATTCTTTCTCTCAACATGATTCTCCCTTCAATCTTGCATCTACTCCCAGGTCGGGTCCCTTCATCTGCTCTGGATGTCAACCATCATCTTTCTTCGGGTGACTCCAATTGACTTTGTAAGCCCCTGCTTCTCTCATGAGACCTAGTCTTATATTTCCAAGCACCTATTGGATGTTCTCTCTGTGATACCCAACCAACACCTCAAAAATAAACTACCTAAAGCAAACTCCTTCATCATACCTCTACACTGATTTTTCTCCCCATCTTTCTTATGTGACATACTGATGTCTCCATTCTTCCACCTTCCTGGCCAAAACCCTCGAGTTGTCTTTTTCTCCATCCCACCCCCCAGTTCTTTGTTCTTCACACCAATTAGTTAAAATGTCCCATTGCAATTTCCTCTGTGATCCCTCTCACATCTACTCTTCCCCTCCCTCCACGCTGGTGCCCTGGAGTATGGGCTCTCATCACTACATGCCTGGACTACTGCAGTAGCCTCCTTGCCCTCACAATCTCCAACTGGAGGTTTTCCCTTCAATTCGTCCTCTCCAGAGTGATGACACTAACCTTCCTAAAACACTTCCTGAATTGCATCAATGGTCTGAGGGAAAAATCAATCATCTCCTTAACCATATTTTCTGAGCCTCTACAATCCAGGGTCAACCCTCTTTCCCAAACCTCCCTCCTACTATTGCCACGCCCAATTTTCTATTACAGCTGAATTCATCTACTTTATTCCCTGAATACATCCTAAACATGTTCACTACTGTGCTTTTCCATGCCTTAAATGGATGCCCCCTACTTTCACCATGTCCCTAAGTTCCATCCATCTTTTAAAATCTCAGCTAACTCCTCTGTTTCCCTGATTTTCCCCAAGATTTCTCTTTCTCCTGGCACTTAGAGCCTATACCATTCATTTAGCTCTTAGCAGGCACTGCTGTGTACTGTTGGAGATCCTTTATTTATGAATGTGACTAAACTGTCATGTTCCTGAAGGCAAAGTCCATTTTTGTGTGATTTAGAAGCTCCCTCAGTATGTATCATACATATTAGGAATGAATGGCGAACAGGTAACTGACCAACGTGAAGATTATTCATTTATGTATCAGACACTTCTCTGTGCCCACCTTGCCCCGGGTGGGGGTCTAGCACCAGAAGCTGTCTCTGGCCTCATGGAGGCTGCAGTTAGTTCAGCAGTTCTCCAGCTGCCTTTCCTGCTCACGTGTGTTGCAGAACCACTCTTGTTATTTTAGACTACCTTGAAAAGGGCCCTGATTCATCTTTGGCTGACCCGTAACCTCAGCGCTCCTGTCCTGCCCAGCTCACTTTAGGACTTACCTGCAGCCACAGTTCTCGCTCTAGAACTAGCTCAGACCTTCAGTCCCACAGGGGCTACAGCTGGTTCCGGACACTACCCTGGTTGAAAACTCAGCCCCCACATCCCCCGCCCCATCACTTACCTGCCTTGATGGTGTGCACTGTCGCTCACCTTCTGTGCCTCCTCTAAGTTCTCAAGGCACTGCTGGCTGCCCCATCCTTTGGTGAATCTGTATTTGAAACCCCAACTCCCCTGACCTGCCTGCCATTCCTTGGCTTCTTACCCTCTTATCCCAGGCTCCCTTAGCTGCTGCCATAATCCCCTGGTGTTTTTCACTCCTTCCCTGGTTTGAGTTTCTGACACTCATGACTTTTTGTACCCAAATCACTCACACTGGTCGTCTGACCTTTCTTGTCTTAGTTCTGCTTAAGTATAACATGACCCGCTAGCATTTTCCACTTTTCTTGCCGTAGCTTGTGGACCTTCCTAACCCCTTCAGCAGTGTCTGAATTCCCTTTATTTTCTGTAAAGATCTCCTTTCCTTGCAGGGTCTCTCTTGTTTTGTCTGAGAGCCCTGGGGGCAGTTCTCCAAACATTTGGTATTTTTCCCCCCTTGGGAACCCATTTACCTCGGACTCTCTCTTTCTGACATACCCTTTAATAAACCACATTTTGACATAACTCCCTTTAAATATAGCAGCACAGGTTGAGTTTCAAATGATTGTTTGTTGCCAGGCCGTCTGGCCTCTGGAGTGCATTTTTTTCATTGAGAACTTTCTCACCTTTCAAATTACAAATACTACTACTCTCACAGTGCCATGCATGTAAGAGGCACTGAAATCACTCCTGCTGTGTTTTTGAAAATGATCTCTGAGGTTGGTATCTCCCAGGGTTGCAAAAAAACACAAGGAAATTGCCCAACAAATGGCTCCCTGAAAATTCAGAGAAGGTATACCCAGGCAAAGGAAGGGAAGTTTAAAGAGTCACCTCCTGAAAGCAGAGAAACAGAATGAATAAGAAGGTGGGGGGAGCAGTTTAAATTACCAGCCACTCTGCATATATTTAAAAAAATCCCCTTTAAGGAAGATGCCAACCTCGAAATCCAAGCAAAAATTAAGTCAGGGGAAGAGGAATCTAAAACAGGAGTTAGAAAGGCATGCAGCTTAAAAATAACCAGAAGAACCATTCATCACCTCAACTACATCAAAAAGCATAGAACAAAGAAGAAAACAAAACAGAACTGGAAAAGGAACTGATGGCATGAGAAAAACAGGGAAATACCTGTGCCAGGTTTGCACTGGGTGCTTTATTAAGCGTCTCCATTTTTTCTAAATCTGCCTCTAACTGTGTCTGGCAGAGGTTGAGATCTTTTTCTAGATTAGTCTGGTTCAAGAAAGAAAAGATGGGAAAGAATGTTTTAGTTTAGAGGAAAGGTAGGAGGAATGGAAGGTTAAGTTTGAAAAATGAATTTGTTTAGGGTTATACATTAATAAGGCAAAGATGGCATGACTAAAACACAAGGGCTCACTAGAAATTAGTTCAAGACAGGAAAACAGAGAATGCAACATTAGGCATATAAAATAAATCCTGAAGTTATCAGAGCTTGAAAACTCTATTCTACTTGCTAAAGAAAGGAATTACAAATACCACAAGAACCTACCTTTAAGGAAATACCTATTTTCTCTCTTTTCAGAGTATGGTGACTGTGACAAATACTATATGTCAGAAGAATAAGTCATTGCTTTAAAAACTTTTAGACATTAGTGTCTTAGAGACTTTGTTAAATAGTTTTATCATTAAGCCAAAAAAAAAGTTATCAAGTTAAAAAAAAAAAAGTGATTTAAGAAAAGAAAAGAAAAACCCCACGACACACTCACACTAACCAGGCTAGAGAGCACACACACAGCCCACGGAGGAGGCACAGAGGAATTACCTTTCTATCCTCTCTAGGAAGGATAGAGCAGTCTCCAGGAGTATAATCCCATATCTTTTTGGGAGGCTGACGGGAAGCAGAGGAGGAAATGAAGAAATGAGCATAAAGACATAAAGACAAACACGGAGACTGGCTCAAACAAAGAGGGGCACACTAGGAGAACTGTATCAACACAGGAAAGTTAACTCAAAGCAAAGGGGCAGACGCTCAGCCTCCCAAGGAGGCTGCCTGGGGACTCTGCAGAACTTGGGACCTGGAAACATTAACTGGGAAGTTTGTTTCTATGTCTATGTCTCAAGGTTAAATCATTGTTGAATTCTAAATATTGAAAATTTAAGAAAAAAAGGGGAAAAAACCATTAATAGCAATTTGAACAAAAATTGAAACTTCTAAATTCCTCATTCTTTTCAAACTAAGATTGACACTGAGAGTCTACACTTTTGAAGCAGTCTTCTCCACTGTAAAATTCATTATGTGTTAATCAATGTGTGAATTTGGAGATTTGGCTAATGGAGGGTAAATTAAACTAAATATGCTTTCTGCGGCTTGTGGCAATGAAATCCATGTACATAATGAGTGTTAAATATCGCACTGTATAACTAGACAATTCCACTAGACAATTTTTAAAATCTCCTTTTGTAATTTAACCAGACTTTGACAACATGCCTAGTGGTAGACCCATACCTCCCATCTCCCTTAGAAGACCGAGTTTATACTTTGAATTTAAACCATGGACTATACGGTTATTTTTGTTTTCTCCTTTAATTCTTCATGTTAGAATTAGAGCTGCATTCCTAAAACAGAAATCTGCCAGAGAACTGTCGTAAGTTTAACAACGGAGAGGCTTGGAGGGTAGGACATTCAGAAGTTACAAGTCACTTCTAACTCTGGAACCTCTCTCCCACTGAGTGGACCCTTCTTGTTCTGCCAACTTAGACTTGAACACAATGACCTCTGAGGAGAAGAGATCATTAATAGCTCTTAGAATTTTGTGCAAATTTCATTATAACCAACTCTATGGTGGCATTCAAACTGGCTTATATTGTGACACTTGCCTTGAGCTTACTTATAGAAATCATTAGGAGGAAAAAGAAGCAAAAGCTGACACTCAGGCTCTTTGTAATGAATTTGCAAATGAAAAGTAATCTGATTCCAAGGTGAAGTCACCACTGACAGCAACAGGTCAGTAATGTAACCTCTGCATATATATATTCTGCAATTTGTAAAGTAAGCGCTATTATCAACTATCCTTCACTTTAAGCATTTAATACACTTGGATTGTTTATCTGGAGAAGTAGACTTTTTAAAGTCATTTATGGTACCCCTACTAATTTCTTTCTTTACTGCAAAAACTGAGACAGTGTTTACAAATTAAATTGGTTTTAAACAACACTCCAAAAATGGTTTCTGGAGTCTTGAATTATTTGATATTCTACAACAACTGATTAGAGCTGAAAGGTATTACAGTCAGGATCTTGATGAAATTTCAGCTCATTTTGGGGTGGCTTTAAGCGAAGGGGCTGAGGAAAGGAGTTCAAGGTAGATGTCTCGTGTCACGGCTCTGGCAGGCTTTACTCACTCAGGGGGTGTGGGTCCTGAGTTGGTGTGGAATAAAAAACAGAAATGATGATTCACAAGATTTGGTAGGAGTTTTAATTTCATTCTGCTTCTGAATGACTGAAAAACCTTCCCAAACAACTCCCATGGTTTACACCACTTTTATTTATGTCTCTTACTCTTTTATGGTCTAAAGTGATTGGGGTAGGAGAGAAGTGAAGAGAAGAAAAACTTTCTCCTCACCACACCTTCTTCCCAAACCCTGGGAATAATATCCAATCATCAACTTGGTTCAACTAGACAACAAGCCCACCCTTAGGATGACGCAGACCATAAGGAATCGTTCATCTCAACACTGTTCCTCAGGAAGTGGGCATTGACTAAGTTATTTTGGCAAGTCTTCAAAAGTATTATCTTTTATTACTTTAAAAGAGCTACACAATAAGTAGTAGTCCCATTTAAGAAGGACTCTAAGGTCTATGGAAGGACTTCTCACTGCTTCAGAGAAAATGACATTTTGGAAAAGCAGCTCTAAGTCTTTAAATAATTAAGAAGCACAACACTAGGGTAAGGATACAAATTATAGGAAGGTCCCAATACACGAATGGACTGTCTTCTCAACATTTGTTTGGATTGGTTGTGTGGTGCCCAGAAACAGTGTTAATTTACTGAGCTATTCACAGAGCCTATTTATTGTATGCTGGGACTAAAAGACTGCCTATTGCTAAAAAAATAGAATTATTTGCACTGTTAGATTTAGTAGAACAAACCAATCACAATTAATTAGAAAATATTGTTTCATAACTTTTCCTAAAAGTTAATATTTCAGATAAAACTAATTTAGTTATTTGGCAAATGAGGAGACAACTAGAAATTTGTGGATTCTGAAAGGGACCTCAAAAAATCAATGGCATGGACTCTTTATCATGCGTAATTTAAAGCTCATAGCTTTTGCTCTCCCTGATGAAAGTATAGCATTATTATTACATATACCAATCACGGTCTTTTTTTGAGGGGGAGGGAAACTACACATATCAAAAGAAGTTTTTGTGAGATAATTGGGCAGGTTTTAAGAAAAAGAAGAAAAGGAAAAGGGTTGGGATACCGTTAAATATTTGCATGTGGAAAAGATTGCCTGAGGTAGACTTCATTGATGTCTGAATGGTGGACAGCAGAGAAAAAAGGGGGAGAAAGAAGTGAGGTGTTCACCAAAGCTTTGGAGAAGGGAGGAGGAGACGGTACCGACTTTAGGTTAGATGCTTCTCTCTCCACTGGTCATTAGGTGGCGCTGTTCATCCATGACAGCTTAGCTGCTATTAGCAGACAGCGTCCAGGAGGGGACAGGGTAGGAGGAACGCCTGTTCCTACAAGTGGGATGTTTGCAAGTCACGTGCTCCTAACTCCAAAAATACCTGAACTTTCAAACAAAGCTCAGCATAGCTAAATCAAATTAGCAATTCCAGAGCATCAGCTTAATTTCTCTTTGTCTTCATCTTAATGAAAAATATACACCATGGAATTTAACATTTTACTGAAGTATAAAGTTAATTCCTGTCTGCAAATAAAACTACCATTCTAAATCATAGTGATTCAAATGCTGGATTCAGTGCTTAAAGTCTCATACGAACATCTAATGAAACGTTTTATTTTTATACACAATCCCTCCACCTGTAAATTCTTTTTTCAGCTGTAATAATTAAGACTTTAAAGTAACAGTAGTCTTAAAATCAGTTTCCAGTCACCTCCAGTGGAAAAATGAGCTCAAATCTCCCTTCTGTTTGATACTCCTTTGGGTGCAGGGCCAAGAAAATCCTCCTTTAAGTGCCAAAATTCAATTGGTACCAAAGCCGACTTAGACACATCACAGGGAAGCTGCAGAAAGTAGGGTGAACACTAAATTTGCTGGAATTCTTAACTCTCATTTCAAATTTTGGGAAATATTATCCTAACTCATAGAAACCATTCCCTAAGAGTCACCTGTAATGAATGCGGTTGCATTCGTGGACCACATCTGCAGAGAGAGGCACTTTTTGGCCTGCCAGGCTCTTCCCTTGCACATGTACTTTCAAAAATTCTATTTAAAGCAGTGACGCTGCTGGTCTTCTCAGGGTGTAATGCATTTTCCTGCTTGTCTTCAGTATGCCATAAAGATTCTAGTCAAGGAACTGAACCAGTGGCTGAAATAATGCCATCCACAAGGCATGTGATATTTGTTGCTAGTGGTGGGAGGTCCTAAGACAAGAAATGATTTAGTTATGTCTCTCTGGGATCTTCTGGCAAGAAATACTTCCAAAGCTCACTGTCCTCTCTTGGTGAAGTAAAGCGACAGAAAGCTTACAGGTTGTGGTGAGAATAGACAATCCCACTAATGACAAGCAACATGGCTGCTCCCCATTTCCTGAATTCCGTATGAAGAGATGTGATTCTTTAGCAGCAACAATGCATCAACAGCATTATTTAAAAAGGAGTCTATAACCACTGAAGCTATTAAACTTACCGGTTTCCCAAACTCCAATTCCGAAAAGAATTTATACCAAGGTTCATTCTTTAAATCTATCTCTTCTGGGCTTATATCCCGACTCTATAGGGGTTGGTGATAGGGAAATGGAAGAGAGAGAAGGATAACATTATGCAAAGATTACATAGGAACAGGCCAGTAGAGATGCAGTGGTTTCCAGGTATACACAGCAACTGCATTCAACAGCAGCAATCATCCATTTTTACTGACACTAGCAAAATCAGGGAGCTAAAACAGGTGAAAGAGGATGGGTTTATAAAAACAGGGATACTGAGGTAGGGAGCAGTGATTGAATCACTCTTGGTCCTAAGGCAGAAGGCAAATAAACTGTGGATGGAGAATTCTGCACCTCACTGCTTCCCTCCACAATAAATTGGAATATAGGCATAACGGTATTCCTCAGTAATTGTCCATATTGTGAGAGAAAAGAAAGCCTTTATTTCCTCTTTACTGGTTAAGAGCAAATAATCTGGTGAGCACACCAAACATTTAGCCATATATGCCAGGTGAGTAGAGCAAACCATTTTTATGGGCTAGTACAGTTTTAGTACTTATTTGCAAGGCTAACTTAAGGTTTTCAAAATAAATGCAAATACTGACACTTCACAAAAGCCAATTTGTTAATACTGCATCTTTAATGGCACATGAGCAGGTGAGAAACCATGTCCCATACACAGTAAAGTGAAAGATGATACAAGTGAAAACAGAGGACACAGGAGAAAAAACATTTTAAACAAGCACCTGTAGGGGATGAATACAGACAGAATATACTTCGTGTTCTAACAAACAAATGTGAAAGAACTGGGAAAAAATAAAGGGAAAAGCTGAGCAAGACAGATACAGAACAAAAGGGGGAAAAAACTTCTGGGTTATGTTACACAAATAAGTTAGATTTCTCACTTTATGTAACTCTAAGAGGTAGTTCACACAGACTGATAATTTGATTCTGTGGGATTTCATTTAATCAAATATTTATAAAGTTCTGGTACCTTGCTCTGTGGAATAACAAGTGTTTCTGGAAATAATTAGTTGGAAAATGAATGCCTGGAAAGCAAATCAAGTTTCCCCTTAATAAACTGGAGATATATTCACATCAGACAAAAGTGTTAGAGGGTTGTGGCTTAATTAAATTCATATATGTATAAACGTTTCAAAAAACCTTGATAATCAAAAAAGAGAGAGATGGTGATTTTCTGACAACAATATGAAATAGGAAATGTACATTTTCCATGAGATTGAAAATATATAAGAAACTTCACTCCCTCAGGGCTACAACACATGGGGAAGGAGACTGCAAGTCCTGTGGCCACATCTTCAATGCGACTGCTTCACAAGCAGCTCCTCCTGGACACATTTCTTAACAATCAGTTAACAGGCCTTTCTCAGCTTGTAGAAACGTCTGTAAGCTTTCTTAGTGACCTTTACCAATCCCTTCTTCCAAAATCCTTAGAATATTTGCCATTATTTCTACTTTTGCTTTAAATAGAGGAAGACACGTCAGAGAACTTTTCATTAACTGAAATTCACTGCATCTAAGTTAGTTGAAATCAGGGAAATGTATACTGCAACACAGAGTCTGTCCTCTTGCATCCAGATTAAAACCTCCTCCAACTGTCTTTCAGGACGTAGGGCTTAAATCTTGAAGGAGAAGGCATGCTCCTTCTCAATGGATTCTGTAATTACGTTAAATAATGGATTCTAAATGGATTCTGTATTTATTCAGTGAAATGAGGCACAGTACCTACAAGGACACAACTATTCAGGAGGGCCAGTTTAGACATTGAGACATCCTAGATCCTTATATGATGGGTTTTCACGAAACCTATTTCATGTTTATTATTTTAAAAACTACTTATAAACTGCTCTCTGGGAATAGATTAAGTTTTTTTGTTTGTTTGTTTGTTTGTTTTTTAAATAAATTGTACAACTCTTTCAGGAAACTGCCTGAATGTTTTGGTACTCAGTCCTGAATGAATTAACCCATTTTATTGCCAAAAGCTGTTTGCAGATTATCTTACTGCCGAGGTTAATACTGTGCTGAGAATTGAATCAGGAGGTACGTCAACCAGCTTGGGCCCAGAGTAGCAGCCTCAGTCCTTTGAGCTGCCCGAGAGAAAGTTAAAGAGGTAATACCACACAGCACTAACATCTGCATTTGATTTTTCCATTTATAACTCAGCTGTAGATCCAATTATGGAATGGACAAATAGAAAACGTCCTTCTGGATGCACAGCAAGATCTCCATACTGGCAGGCAGGGCAGATTCTACAATGCCAGGCTAAGTTCTCTGCCACCGTGGGCTATTCTTTTCTAGGTTGGCAAAATCCTTGGAAAGGGCAGGTAACTCGTTAGGAAAATTCCTGATTCTCCTCAAGGATAGTCTTGCTGCTTGGACAGGAGCCAGAGACTAGCTTCAAATTTTAAGTAAATCAATAATCTGAGTGTGGCACGTTCATTTGCCCAGCACTTTATCATGTTCATAGTTCTTTCACCCCCATTACCACACTTGATCCTCTCACTCAGTATTTCAGTGAGGTTGGCAGGTCAGATAATAGTTCTGTTTTACAGACGAAAACACCAAGGTTCAGAAAAGTTAAATGACTTGCCCCAAGGCATAAGGCAGAGTCAGAATTTGAACTCAGAACCAGGATCTTCCAATTCCTGGCCCAGTGCTCCTTACTGTACACCGTATTCCACTTCTCACACTCCCCAGGAGAACAGGGTAGACCCACTAAGTCTGCAGATGATACCAAGATAAAACAGGGTAAGCAACAAACTTGAAAGCTGGGAAGGAACTCCAAGTGACCTGACTGTGAACTGGGAAGAAAACAAGTTGGTTTTACTTTCAAGTATATGTGGTGTCTGTAACTACTATTTTAATGTCTGTCCTTCCCACTATACTCCAGTGGGAGCAGGGACCCCAACATCTAACCCAAGGCTTGGCACATAAAATTATTCTATACATATTTGTTGAATTGAGCTGAAGTTCTGCCAGGGACTGTGGAGGAAAGTAAAGAGAACAAAGCCTTAAAAAGGCCATTTCTGACAAAGCAGGGACTGACCAACAGATCTCCAATTCCAGGGCCAGAAGAGAAGAAAATGGACTCATACTGTGATAAGAGGGGGGCCACGAAGTTATGAAGAACTTCATATGAGTTTGCCAAGTAGCAAAATAGGTCATCATGGCTGTAAATCTCCTGTGGGGAATTCTGAAGGTAGGACAGTGTTTCACCTGTCTGGGATGGTTTGGGTTCACCCCAGGGACACGATGAGCTCTAAGGTGGCCTTTATAGTCTACCATTCAACCCTTCCTGCAAACAAAAGATACATGTGTCTGTGAGGTCACAATTTAAAATGCCAGGCTTACGCAGACATGAGAACCTCAAATTGGGAAAAAAAAGTGTTTGTTTTTTTTCTCAAAAGAAGTTGTGCATTGCTGAGAGAAAATTTAGATTCTATATCTGTCACTAGTTAGGATACTTATCCACAGTTAATAACAACAAAAAAGTGTGTGTGTCTCTGTGTGTGTGTGTGGTGGTGGTGGTTGGGGGAGGCGGTGTCCTCGAATTCTGGCAAACCAGATAGTGGATACCAAAAGGCAAGACTCACACGCTGAAACTCATATTCCAACTTTTCTGTTCATGTGGCAAAAATAGCAGGAAAAAAAATTTAAAAATAAAGGACTAATTCAATTACTATGAAGAATAAACTATGAAAATACAGAGATTTGACTGAAATTTCTCTCTACAATGGAAAAACAGTTCTTCTTTGGAAGAACAGTGCTAAATAGAGTAAAACACACTAAATTAAGTGATTGTACAGTCATGTTCCTCCCTGCCCCGCCTTTGGTGTTTATGTCCCGTTACTGGATCAGCCCAGGACTTGGGACAACACAGGGGAGCCTCCTGTGTGGGAACCCCCAGATGGTGCTTTAATCCACGTGCAAGGTCACTACAGCTCTCCACAGAGGGCCCTTATGGGGTACTATGGGGTACCTTTCAGAGTTTGTAAAAACAATATAAACAATCCCAAGAACTATGGTATGGAAGATACTTGTAACCATGGTGATATCAATGAGAAAAACAAAACTATGTTTTTTTCCCCCTAGTTCTGAGTAGTGGTCAACTTACGAAAAACCTAGGAAAGGAGGAGGAAATAAGAAATTAAGAAAAGGGGCAAGCCTTCAATAAAAGCAATGACTATCAATAAACAATAATATTGCCAAAACAAAAATACTCAAAGGCCTACAGAGTCCCTGAAATCATTTAAATATATTAATATGTTATGGTACGTCCCTGGCTTGTTTTTCAAGTGTCAGGAATATACCCAAAGCACATGACTTTCTTTCCAGGAACACCTGTGTGGAAGGTTACCTTCCGTGTTTATTATCTTCTATAGGGAGAGAACTTCCAATGAAGGGTGGAGGCAGAGGCAAAATTCTCTGCTCCTCTCTGCACTTTTCTCTTAAAATAACTGCAATGCACAGTACATGCTGAAGAATGACAACTCTAAAGCAATTCTGTGAACTGCTGACCTTTTCTCGTAATTAAAATTACTTATCTCTTTGTGCTTTTAAAGATGTCACATTTTTATTTTAGTAAAAGTCAAATCAATTATTCCTTAAAAACATGTAGAGCAGAAGAGGTGGAGGGAAAAGAATCTGAACTCGCATTTCAGAGGCCTACTTATTCTGTACTCAGTGTGGTAACAGCATTTTAATAAAAACCAATCCCCAGCATGATAATTCCACCCTGCTGGCATGGCTGGAGGGCTGCAGTGTTTATGGAGCTTTGGAGAATCCCTTTAACCATGATCAGAATTCTGAACCAGCTTTTTCTAATGAAGGGTAAATAAAAGGAAGCATGATTGGCAGACACGAAACTAATCAGTTTGTAAAAATTCTTCCCCGTTTCATAGAAGAAGCCGCTTTTCCAGGGTGGTCTGCTATGCCTATACAGGCCATTTTCCCCACTTATAATTGCTTGGAGATGTGAACTTGTACAGGGAACCAAAAACCAGATTGAATATGAAATTGGTCCTCAATATTGCACTTGTCAAAAAAAGGAAGATCTAAAAGACATATTCTAACAGTCTGGGGCTTTTTTCCAGGTCATAACATCACATTATTTAGTTTTTAATGATGTACTAGTAACTTTTACAAAATTTATGCATCTTCAAATAAGAGTCACTTAAAAAAAACCTGACTTTCGTCCAGTTAGTAATAAGCCTGATAACTTAATGGTTAGATATTTTTAAAAAGACAGCAGCAAAATCAATCTTTACATTAGTATAAAATTTTAAATTAGTTAAAATCATGCACAAAAAGAGCAACAAAGCCACAATAAGAGGATTCTTTCAAAGCAGACTCTCAGGACTTAACACCTGCAAAAATGAAAAGGGTAAAAATACTTCATTTTTTCATTGTCTTCTAAACAAAGCAAGTCTATCTCAAGGGAAAAAGAATGTAATCCAAGCGCACAATGCATCCGGATTAACGAACATGGGCAGGGTGAGACAAAAGAAGTTTAATGTGCACATTACCATCTTTTCGTTGGTCAGAACGGAGGACTTGCCCGGCTGATATTCGTAAATGCTTTTGGGCTCTGCACGGTATTTTCTTGTATCCACTTTCTTATCTGGGGGCTCCCAGTCGTTTCTGTAGAAAAAAAATCCTATTAGAGCTATTTTCATGAAAATTGGCATCCGACACGGTCTGACTTTGGTCGACTGTAGTCTAATCAAGGAATTTTTATATCTGAAGCATAAAATCGGACTTGGCACGAAGCATTTAGTGGTGCTGGTTTTCTTCTCAAAACAACAAGCTAAACCTCTGTGTTTGCTTCACAAAAGGCCTGAGGTGTCCTGTGCTCAAAACCAGGCACCAGGAGGCAGAGAGAAGAGAAAGAGAAGAAGAGAGAGAAACAGCAGCAGCAAAGCTCGGTTGGAAAAATCCTTCACCTTGCTCTGCTCTCAGGAGCTTATCCTTCCCCAAACATGCCTACACTTCCCACTCGTGCTAGTGCAGGGAGCGAGTATGCAGGTCCTGGAACCAGCCAGCCGTTCCGATCCCTGCTACAGCACTTGCTCGCTAGGTGATCTGGGCCAAACACTTGACCTCTTGCTACCTTAGTTTCCTCATCTGAAAAATGGGGTTGTTGTAAAAAGGATTAAATGAGATGGTACATGTAAATCACTCAGCAGAGCACCAGGCCCATGGTAACCACTCAATAAACGTTATTTGCTATTACAACTGTGTTCTTCTCTATTCCACACCCCACCCCAGTAACCACCAAAATTGCAGCCTTTGTCACAGATACTTAACCTGATCCAGTGATGGGTTTTAGAGGATGGATACAGGAATCCTTGGAAACTGTTTGCAAATTTTTTACGCATGTACATTATTGCATGTTGCACTGTGATTAGTTTTTCTTGTAAGGCTATAAACTTCTTGAAGGCAGGGACAACGATTTATATATGCTTACATTCCTCCATAGCATCTGGTTCAATCTGCACACAGAATGCACCCAGTAGTTGCTTGATGAACGCACTTGTAAAGGATTTATGGGTATGCCCAGACTTCCTTTCAACTAATTATCAAACTCCTCAGGCAGATGCCGCTTACATACGTACCAGACTTTTTGTGTGTGTGTGTGTGTGAGGAAGATCAGCCCTGAGCTAACATCTGCCAATCCTCCTCTTTTTGCTGAGGAAGACTGGCCCGGGGCTAACATTCGTGCCCATCTTCCTCTACTTTATATGGGACGCCGCCACAGCATGGCCTGCCGAGCAGTGTGTTGGTGCGCACCCGGCATCCGAACCAGCGAACCCCGGTACACCGCAGTGGAGCGCGTGCACTTAACCACTTGCACCACCAGGCCGGCCTCTGTATGGGACTTTTAAAACATTCATTCGTCTATAAAGATAGAAAAGGTATAGAGGTGTGAAACTGAGTATGTATTTAAGGGAAAAAGAAATAATTTAGTTTGGCCTGAGACATTTTTGTGCTGAGAAGTGGTGGAAGGTGGGGCTGGAAGATGCATGAGACACCAGTCCAGAAGGCATAAGAAGGTTGCTTCACAGAGCATAAGAACTCAATAAAAGAAAATTGGGTCATTCAGTGTAGGCATTAAGAGATGACTAACGTCATTGTTAGAACCAGTCCCGGCCTTATAACTCAAAAATATGTGTTGCATAAATAAATAGAAATTAAAAAGTGTGGCATCATTTTAAAATTATATTCTCTGCTATGGGCCCCATCAGTATGCACAGAGTATTAAAAACATGACAAATCTCAAAGCTAAGATCACTCTTGAAAAACGTAGAAAGTGATATAGTCAACATTAATTAAGCCCATACCATGAGCCAGGCACTACTAGAAATGTTACATGCGTTATCTTGTCTTATCCTTGCAACATCCCTATGAATGTAAAATTTATCGCCATTTTACAGATGAGGACATTGAGTCTCAGAAATAAGACACTGCTAATAGGTGACAGAACAGGGTCTGCTTGACTGCTGGCTCCAATGCTGCCTGAACCAGCAGAGAGAGACTGTATGTCACTGGTGGGTTGTGTATGAGGGCCTAAAATCACAGAGCTGATTGTGGACAAGGGAGCACTTACCTTTCTGGGCTTGATTTTAGCGAGGAAGAGCGGGCCGGGAGGGGAAGTGTGGCCGACCTCTTCACTACCTTCTCACCATCAATGTAGCTCATCTCACTTTTTGAGCGAGGCACGGAAAGGGGTGATTTTGCTGGAGAAGGAAAGTGGGTACAAAAGACTTTTAAAACTGATGAAAACTGAAAACAGGAAGATGTCTGCCTTCATCCACCATGCCCCCCTCCTCCCCTACTACCAGGAAATTCTAAGTCACTTACTGTCTTCAGAAAAGGAGTATCGAGGAGAGTACAGATCTGAATCATCATCTATTGAACAAAACAAAATGTAATCAGGAGAAATCCAGCTAAGGTGAGAGAACCGAGTGACATGTCCCCCACTTCCACCGTCCTGCACCGGCATCCAGCCACACCACGGAGCTGAGCGAGGGGTGGGGGGGGGGCGCCAAGCGCTGGAAGCTACACCATGGCAAACCACATTTGAGAGGAGCTAGGTTCGCAGAGCCCTCCCACCCAAACAGGACCTGCAGTCCGGAAGGTACACTCATGATGCCTGGGAGATGACTGCCGCCTGACACCAAGAAAAGCATGGGGACAAATAGCCAAAGGTCCTCCTCAAAAGAACTTCCACAAGCAAAGCTGGAACACAGGGTCCCCAGCCTGGCTGAGTTGGAAGGAAGGGCTGAGACAGATCCCCAGAAGCTCACACTTAAAGTCTCTGGTCTGGCCTGCTGGGTTCCCCAAGGCCTGCTACTGGGTGGGATGGGGAGGCCCAGAGGTGTGCTTTCTATTTCCCCAGCTCAGCTGTGACCTGTTTTGTATGCTAAGGTTCCAGACACAATAGCATTTAACATAGAGGTTCTGCAGCTAAGAAAACCCTCAATCATTTGTTTTGATTCCACCTCAACCTGGTTCCTCGAGTAGCTTTCTTTCCTTGGAACACAACACACTCGTGGCAGATGTGGTTATACGGTTTGCTCTGCAAAGGTAGTGCCCGGGGAAAGTGTCTAATATGTGACTCTGGAGCAAATCAAACTCACATGGGTTTCTGTGGTGTGAGATGGCTCTCTAAGGGCATAGCACACATCCCTAAATAAGCTGAACACGGAGGCTCAAAGACCTGCAGAACTAAGACAAGATCTAAACCCTCGGGGAAGTGGCTGCACTGAACTAAAACTGAGACCACAGGCACACGAAGGGGAACAGATTTTAAAGTTGGGCCTGTCCTGAGAATGTAGGCTATTTAGTCACTACATCCATGATGAGCCCTCCAAAGCACTTCTCCAACCAGAGTTAGGCTGAAACAGTCAGCCTTTCCTATTTTCTAATATCTTGCTAACCTGAATTCAGAATTCATGAATATGGAATGAAGACCCAACTCCTTCCCTTAAAATCTGTAACAACTTTAACAAAGCACATGAACTAACCTGCAAAGACAAGTCAAAGAATCCAATATAATATGTTAATGACTAAGTGATAATCAAGTTCTTGTCACTATGCAAATCATTTTAAGTTTCAGAGCAGTAAAGGTCAGAATACTTTGTGAAATGTAAATAAAGCTAACATTGCTATTATCTTGAGTAAAGTATTACTCAAAGACAGCCTCTCTAAACGTCATCCTTTCTTACCCCCTCTCTTCTCCCCATTTTTATCTGTCCCAGGTCTCCCCTAGACCAAATAAAGGAAAGGCATCAGGTACCAAGTTATCTTTTCCCTTCCCACCCTCCCTCCCTCCCTCTTTTTGCTTTAAGGATAAGAATTAGTTGATATCAAAGTTGAACAGGGCTTAAGCTTCTTCTACCAACACAGCCAAGCCTTTCCCTGCTATAAACTGAGTATGCAAGTTTAACTTCTGAAAATAGTGAAGAGACAAAATGGGATCCAGAAATATATATTTTATTTATTTATTTATTTTTGTGAGGAGGCCCAGCCCTGAGCTAACATCCAATGCCAATCCTCCTCTTTTTTTGCTGAGGAAGACTGGCCCTGGGCTAACATCTGTGCCCATCTTCCTCTACTTTATATGGGACACCGCCACAGCATGGCTTAACAAGCGGTGCTTTGGTGCACTGCTGGGATCCGAACCCGTGAACCCCAGGCCACCGCAGCAGAGCACGCACACTTAACCGCTTGCGCCACTGGGCCGGCCCCCAGAAATATATATTTTGAAGTATCGTTCTGATGAATTTTTTGTTGCCTGTTTTTTTATGTTTTCAAACAGAGCTTCGGATTCTTGTACTGATAAAATGCTACCATGTCAAAGAAAACTAAACATCAGCTTTGATTGCAGAGATTTGATTGGAAAAATGGTGCCTGCCAGATGAAAAATTAGCTTAGTTAGGAACCAATGTATGTACTGCTTAAAATCCAGCCTAGCATTTTAGCTCAAAACCTTGTACATCTCTGAATCATGGAGAAATTACAGCTTATCAGTGGATGGTAAGGTGAGGGTTAATTTCTAACTATCACCTGGTTCCTGAGGTAAGACGCAAATGGGGAGGAAAATGACATTTAAATATTCAAAGATTTTTAAAAAATAACAAAACCTGAGCTCCTTAAAAAAATTTTCTCCCTAGAGCTTTCGAAAGTGGAATTCTAGAAGATTTGTTAGAAGAAAAGGAGAAATCGTTCTAATAAGATGGAAAAAATTAGCACAGCTTGGAGAGTTAATTTATGTATTTTGAAAAGCAGAATAAGTAGGAGAGATGAGGGATGAAGGCAACAAAGAAGCTGAATTACTGAACATACTTTTTATTTATTTATTTATTTTTTCTCCAAAGCCCCAGTAGATAGTTGTACGTCATAGTTGCACATCCTTCTAGTTGCTGTATGTGGGAC